GACTGGTTTATTCTATAAGTGATAGAGATTCAAATGGTATCTCTTAAATACAAGGCAAACATGGCTTAGCATGTCACTATCTGGTGCAATGCAGTCCCTGTACATATAATGTGCTGCATCTTTTCTAAAAATGCTTGAAATGCTTTAGTGAACAAGAGAACAATATACTCTATTGCAGTTATTTAAATATGTTGCTTCTAGAAGTTTGCTGCTTTTTTTTTTCTTAAACATTTAATAGTATATAATTGTTACCTGCAATTATATGTTGATGCCTTTTGTTCAAAGGGTAAGTACTGTGCTGCTTTAACTGGTTCTTAGCAGACAATTTTACACACAGCACGTTCTGCTTATAGCTGTATTCATATCTTTTTCTCTTAAAATGTACTTAAATATTGTAGGCTAATTCAGTTAGACTTTATTATTACTTTAAAAGTACAATATTTTTTCTATGCAGATTAATACAATAACCTCTATATTATATAAGCAGAAAGATATGCAGAAAGGTTTACATTACATATAAACATACATACTGCTATTTGTAAATGAAACTTTCTCTTTTGTGATTAAATTAAAAAGTAGTATAATTTCAGGTTTATAATGCAAATATTGTTTAAACTGAAAGCATTCGGTATTTTGCTTACAGTATTTTTTTAGGGATAATTTAAAATGTGTAGCTTTAAAGAAAAAAAGTTTTATGGAATTATAGCGGGTGAGCAGCTGTTTCCACATTGTTAGGGCACAGAAGTTAGAGTTCTGATTGCCACATTAATCAGAAAGAATTGAGACCACGAAATCCATTTCATTTAATCTCATTATTGAATAAACAGCTCTGTAGTGATGCCTATTTGTACTTGTTTCTCTAATAAAAATGCAACTGTAGCTCTCAACACAAATTAGTTTTAATTATTTAAATGATATGAATTTGTCAAACATAAATAATCTAACACCTGTTTTGCCTTTTCATTTTATGAAAAAAATGTTTCGTGAAAGCTAATAGAGGATGATAGTGGGGAATAACAAAGGTAGGTCTATGTATTTATTACAATTCTATTAATTCAAAACAAATGCAAGTGTGAGTTCATTACTATCTAGCAGGATGAAGAAGCAGTCTGTTTCATTGCTATGCAAGGACACAGCAGAAAACGGCAAAACAGAAGGATGTCTCACATGCACTGGGTCAATGCAACTCACTTGTCCTGTGCTCGTCTCTGAGAACGGGTGACAGTGATGTACAGTATAGCAATTCGTCTTCTGAATACAGTGATGACATTACAAAGTAATGAGCGCTGTAGCTTTTGAGATGCTTAATCAAGGCACCAAAAGCTGCCACGACAGTCACCAATATAAGTGAAACAAACCTCATCAGGCAAAGTAAAAGACAAATCTGAGTTTCCCTGCTTTGTGTTTGTTTTAGTAACTTCATTTCAGGAGATCTGCCTGACCATACATGAAGAGTATCCTGAGTGTCAGAAGGGAATAATGTGGTATAAAAAACAATTGGTAGCTAACTCTGAAAATGGAGACCTGTTTGTTTTCTCCACAGAATAGTTATAATCATATTTGTTGTTTCTGTTTCATGCTGCATTTTGTTTTAAAATATTTGCTATATAAAATTCTGGATATCTTAACACACTGCCCTGAATTCATTTATCGTTTGGTTGAGGAGGGAAATTAAACATGTAATCCAGCTGTAGTTGTTGGTGGTGGCCTCATATGGCACTTCAAGCAGTGATAATTTGTATGACTTTATGTATATTAAACCATACTTTGATATTGATTCTGTTTGTGGTGTATTAACTGTTATCCTTTCTTGGTAAAGGAAATGTGCTAAGCAGATAGTTACTGTTCTAAATCAACAGGGCAATTTTAGAGTCACAGAAAGCTGTTGAAACCTACCACTCAGTAGTTTCTCTGCCAGATTAATCATCTTTATTGTCCCTTCTGGAGGTGTCTCTCTTCCTTCGTGCAAAATATTTTCAGCAAGCAGGCTTATCGTGAGAACTTATAACACTCCAAGGATATGATTATGTGACCATCACAGTTAATATTGTGCCTTACATATCAATAACATCGCCCAGGGTTTCAGAGCTGTCTCTTTTTAAAAAAAAAAAAAAAATGCAAATTACAGAAAATGTTTTCTAAAACATTTTATTATATTTCACAGTGCATTTTCTCTCAAAGTGCTCCTATGATTATTTTGTATGTTATACTCCCTTCTCAGTGCAGTTAATTTAAAACACTTATACTCAAATTTTTGCATATCAGTCTCTTTCTTTATAGACACTTTGTTTACAACATTTAATTATTGTTAAATAATCAGTAAATATACTACAGGTTAGGTACTGTGGGACTACTTATTTCTTTTTTTTCATGTCATTGGAATTCAACTACAAGTAGTTAGAATAAAATCATGTTTCTAGTGTTGCAAAGAACTACAGTATACAACTACTCAAGAAAAATCTGGATTTAATTCTTGTTATTTTTATAATAATTTTAATAAATTTATAACTTGAAACTATATAAATTTAAACTGTGATATCATTTAAAAAAACCCAACCAACAAAACAAAACCCCCAAACATATGCAAGAAAGCAGGATATTTTCAAAAATCCTGCTATAAATTGGAGGACACTTCCTGTTGTAGTACTTTTGATGTTGAAGAAAGGGCTAGTAATTGTCTTCAGTCCTCCAGAACTGTTTCATTGTTAATCTGACCAAAGCTTTGGAAAGAAAAAATCTTTTTAGAGAAAGATTTCATTTGCATTTATGTATCAGGCTGGAACTTTGGTCTTTGTTTTTAGTGGGCTGCTATAAAAACATAGAATTATTTTACAATTTAGCTAGCTAGCTTGTAATCTAGATACATAAATTAATGTAAATGATAGTATTATCTTTGCTGATGTTGCATCCAATGCAGCATTCAATGCTGCAATGTATCTCAAGAAGCCTTCATGTTACTAAAGATACTATAATGACAATTAAGTAAGTATATCAGGATAATCAGGTTTATTAGTAGTATCTTTGTAACAATATCAAGTTGTACCTCAGTTTTTAAATCTATTTCCCTAAATAAGT